GAAATCAGATAAAATTAAAATAATTATTTCACTCTCAAGGGTAGGGACATTATCTTTCTAATTAAGCTTATTTCATACATAATTAAGTTTATTTCGCACATTTAGTTTGAGAATCAAACTCTCAACCATCTATTTAATTTATTTTTATTTGAAAGTGTCAAAGAGCCTTCACCACTCATATCAACCTAAATTGGTGTTATGGTTAAGTGAATGAAGACTACGTGCATGATTATATTGCCATGTACATGTCCTCAACTTTTGGAAAGAAAATTAGTATTTTTCATGTACTTATAAAATAGGTTTCTGTTCTCATGGGAAAATGAAAGATAAAGAATAAATAAGAATCAGACTTTGTTTAGATCAACAAGAGAAATTTTCCTTCTTCTTTGTTCTTTTATGAGAAGAATCAAACAAATCAAGGTCGCGATTTCAATTTTAATTTATTAAAAAAATGAGATTAAATATACATACATACATTTACATACATACATACATACATATATATAACAGTTATAAATTATAATTAATAACAATGATCTACTTCAATAATCTATCATGTTTGGATGAAAAGAGATCGTAAATTTATTGATATGTCAAAGAAGAAGATAGCTATAAGAACAAGACATCACTTTCCAAAAAAATGTTATAACAAAGGAAGAGACATACTCTTTTTATCCCTATATATAAAATATTTTTAATTGAATCATATAAATTAATAAAAATTAACTATTTAATTAAAAATATAGCAAAATTTTAATTTTGCTTCTAATTATTGTAAATACAAATGAATCTTTTTTTTAAAAAAATAAATTAATGAAAGTATTTATTTTTTAATTTAATAAAAATATAATGGTTCATTCATTAAAAAAAATATGCTAATAACATCTTATATTACAAATAAAAAAAGGTTTGAAAAACTTCTCGTGAAGTAGTTGTTGAGAAGGCTTTTCCATTATAGTCATGGCTGCCTAACCAAGCACTCCTTAAAATGCAATTGCCCATTTTTATATACTCTACAAAATTAGTATTTTCATTTTACTCATCAAGAAGTGATTATTTCTTGCCTTTTTATCGCTCAATAATTATTTTTTTGACTTTATTTTATAACTTTTTATAAGTATTGTTTTTTTTATCATATTATGATCGAGATTTAAACATTTGATCCTTACCTGTCTTTCAATAACATGGTTAAGTAGTGTGTTGTTGTTATTGAAGAGTGCGTTTAATTGACATGTAAAACATTTCATTTTAATTAGGTGTATTTCAAAACAAACTAAATAAATAGTAACTATGAAATAGTATAGTAGACACAAAATATTTCAATTTATAATCATAAAAGCAACTCCTCTTTTTCAGGCCAAAAAAAAAAACTCCCCTTTCATAAAGTTGATACCAAACATGCCATTAACCCACCTTAATGATTATTCTACCAAAAAGCAAAGTCTTTTCCACATTTGGACAGTCAAACTTGATAGCAAAACACATCCGTTTTACTTATTTCTGGTATCCAATAATAAAGTAATAATTCTGTTGAATTGAACCAGCCAAAAGGAGCAAAACCCTAAACCCAAGGCCTCAAGCTAGTCCCAACAAAAATAATTAAAAGTTAAAATTAAACCTCATATTTGACCAAAAAATTAAACCTCATAGCTTGATAGTCCTCAAAATTTTCTCTTATTAAAGATTTGGGATTAATGTTTTAATCATCAACAAAAACAAGGGCTCAAGCTAGTCCTAACAATAGAGACTAAATTATATTAAGTTAAAGTTTAAAGATTGAATTATAACTAATGAGTCAAATTATAAAAACTAGGTTATATCAAGTTAAAAGTTTATGAATTGAGTAAGGATTGAATGAAAAATATAGCAATCAAATAATTAATTTTTCCAGAAAACTTCACATTCATGTGTTAATATTTGATTGGTCAAACCCAATATCATGACTTACAGAAAGCCATTAGTGTATTTTAATTATAATTATATTGCCAACAAAAAATAAATAAAGGAAACTCATGCGTTGCGATCAATATGCCATTCATACAGACAATCATGGAGGGAAACGTGTTTCTAATGATTGTACCAAAAACAGGAAACGCAATAACACACAATCATTACACACTGTCTCAAAAAACGAATAAAAAAACAGAATATATTCTTCTTAATCAGACCTCTTTTATACACACACACACACAAGAGGTTCCCCGCAAGGGTATATGAATTGAATAATATTAATAAGTTTGACCATAATGGAGAACCAAGCCATTGATGATCAGTTCATAGCAGATAGCTTGGAGTATTATGATTTTGATATTGACTATGGCTTTCTAAACGAAATCTTGAACAGTGAAACACAAGAGAGTACCAACCAAACCGATCAAGAATTTACATTTGATTCGAATTTTTTTGACTTTACAGAGCTTGATCTTGTTAGTGCTGAGCAGAGGGTTGATGATCAGAATAATGGAAGAGGATGGGTTAAAAGAAGAAAGTTCAAGAAGGGTACTGTGGAGCATGCTCTTTGGAAGCAAGAGATGAAGCTTAAGAATAGGATCTCAGCAAGAAGATCAATTGAAAAGAAGGAGGTTAATTAATTAATTAATTGGATTAACCAAAATGGGTTTTAAGTGTTTTTTGTTTGATAAGATTTGAGTTAATTAATTAATATTTTGTGATTATATCCTAATTAATGCAGGCTTATATTAGAGAACTTGAGGGAAAATTTCAAAGGCTGCAGGCAGAAAATGAATTTAGGAGAAGCGTTCTGGAGGTAATTATTGGATTATAAGAAAGTTTCTGGAATTTTTTTTTTTAAGTGTCACAATATGCTTTTATGAAAAATGCATTATTCATGTAAGAAACTAAAGAAATGCCAAAAAGATGAGAAATTTTATTCTTTTCATTTGCTTAGTGACTAGTGAGAGACTAGATAATGATTATCATCCAAATATTTCATGTATTTATGTTTATTGGCACAAATTATATGATTTAATTAATTAACCATTAATCATCTAACATGGTTCTGGAACAAGCTGACAATATTTTGGCTTTACAGGCCAGTTCACTAAATTCATCATTGCTTATAATAAAATTAACAATTTTTTATAATATGATACGTAGTAATTATTTAACTAATATAATTATAATTATGTAGATTTTCCCAAATTGCAAACCAGCTGGTAGATTATGTGGATTAAGAAGAGCATTTTCCACATCTGACTTCTATGTCACTAGCCAGGTAATTAAATTAATTGAACACTATCTTCCTACAAATTTTCATTGTCACATATTTATTATATATAAAACTTGAATCTGAGAACTTTTTTTTCTTTACTCTGAGACAAGTTTGCACTCAAAAATTACTCTATCTTGCAGGTAGCATATGAGGAACACATGGGCATGTATTTCTGAAGATCTAGGGCTAAAAAAGTCTCTCTTTTTTTTTTAAAAAAAAACTAATTATTAATTCTTTAGAAAGAAAGCTAATACTGTGTAGTTCTGCTAGTTAAACACTACAGAAGCCGATAGACTGCAAAACCGTCTTTTAATTTTTGAATAATACATGTCCCTTTTTGTGCACATTAAATCTTACAAAATGATTATAGCACAACAACTTCCACAATCCAAATACGAAAAATTTACAAACCTCTTGAGGATTGGGCTGGGCCGAACTTAATCTGAAGCCCAACATACTTGTAGATGTTGGGCTTAAGCCCATGATAAGTTCTATTCTATGCTTTCCCTGCCAATCTTCAAACCAGCCAATGCTTCTATCAAGATGCATTGAAGGTTTGAACTTTGAACCAAAAAAACTAAAATGAAGGTTTGAACTTTGAAAAAGTGTCAGTGGGAGGTACCAGAAAAAATTTCTTTTCAGTGGCCACTGGAATGAATAATATAAAGCATCAAATGTTTGGTTTGATTAAGAATGAGTTTAATATTTTGTGAGTAAACACTTGTTTTTTTGGGTAACCATCTATAACGGATTAGGAATACATGTTACAGGTTCGACGACATTTTTGTTTGGTGTCTGTGTAAATCTCTTTGATCTTCCTTCTCTAGAGCCGCCACCTTGCTGCTCCTTTATTTTCTCGTCCTTCTTTATCTTCCTTTCAATGTTTTCCCCTCTGCGACAGGTTATTCTGAAACTGTAGCACAACGTTAAGGATCGAAAGCGAATATTCCTGTCTATATGTTTTTGAATTAATATAATTTTATGCAATAAAACCTCAGCAAATCAGAGTGGCGCAGCGGAAGCGTGGTGGGCCCATAACCCACAGGTCCCAGGATCGAAACCTGGCTCTGATAAAGAGTAGCTTCCGACGCTTTTATTTTTCACACCGTTAGATGTTTTCTTCCCTCATCGACGCTACTTGTGTTGACACGTCACATATGTCTGGGCACTGTTTCGCTTTTGACACGTCACACCTGAACGCGTGTCGTATTACTCTAGTCTTTGCGAATGATGTTGTTAAAAAAAAAAAAAAAAAGATAAACACTGCCCTTTTTGCCAAAGAACAGTTTTTGGCACAAAAAGGATTTTTTTTTAACAAAACAAAAATAGGTATTTTGTCATAAAAAGTATTATACTCAAAAGTTTTGAAGAAGGTTTATTTCTAAATTAATGTAAATATTATCTATTTAGCCATTCATCGTGTTTCAATTTTCTTTCCTACGATACGAACTATATGATGTTGGAGGTGGAGAAAGATTAAAACGGTAGACTATTAATTTACACTGTCCAACATTTTTTTTAAAAAAAAAAATTACATTGTCCGACCAAAATATTTAATTCATTTAGATTCTCTTCAGTCCTTAGAATTTAAATTGAAAACTAGACGTTGTCCCACTAACAAAAATCACACTGTTCTCACATTATTCATAATCCATGATGGTTACAAACAGGAACCAGGGGAAAAAAAGCATCTAACCCTGAAATGAAACTGCAAGTATGTGACTGAAACTAAAAGAAATGATGAAAGAATTTTGCTTTATAGCGTCCGGAGGCCTAAATGAATCATTTATATAACAATCACTCGTGTATAACAATTAACAAAGTACTATTTGTGTTACTTACACATTTAACTGGACACAACTCTGGCCAACTAGCTATCAACTTTTTATATTCTGAGCAGTGATTGACTTGATTTACAAAATGACAAACGAGATTGATGCTGCTCCAGCAATCCCGAACAACAAATTTGATGCCTAACAAGTTAGTTGCAAGAGAGATGGGTAATCTCTCAAATCAGAATTCTGGGTTGAAGAATAAAATTAATCTCTCAAATCGCATATTCCAGACGCCATTGAAAGAAGATAATTAACATGCACTTCCAGCAGATAATCCAGCAAAGATAGAATTGCTAATGCAAAACCAACCCGGTGGGGTGTGATCGAACAGACCGTTGAATCTGTCTGCTGCATCAATCATCATGCATCAAGACCAAGCTGATGAAAGGAGAAAAATTATATACTTGGCAGCATGTAGAGACACTGCAGGAATATCAGCTAGCTTTCACCATTGTTCAGGGTCAACCAACCAGAGGATGGTTCATTTACTATTTTGCCAAGAACTCCTTCTCAGCTAGACTGAACATCACCTTCAAACGTTCTTGCAGTTTTGTTATGATGTTCTTTGTGATCCTTTTTGGATGCTTTGAGCTTTTCAGCCATTCAATTCCAAAATATACCTGAACTCTGCATCCCTTTGATTTTGGGGGTGAATCCTCTATTTGATAACGGAGATGTAGCTATAATACATATTCCAACACATCACTCAACCAACCGGGTAGACAACACACATATAGAGTGATAGAAAACAAAGGAACTGAAAACATGGAAAATAAGTGAATGTGGATTACTCACATTAAAATGGTCACCAAGAGGAATTCCAAGAAGGTTCATAACCTCTTCTAGAAGCCAGCCTTTTCCATCCAAAAGGGGAGATCTTTGCTGTGTACTAGTAACTGTACCGCCATACTGTGAAACATGCTTATCAAATCTGTAATATATGGCCCTCTCATAGACATCTGTGTTCTCTGATACCCAGGGAGTGTAGGAATAATTAAGACAACCACAGTTCTCCATGACCTTCCTGTCTAACTCTCCCCCATTGAACAGCTCCATGCAGAAAGTGGCCTAAATTAACCAAATGAAAAGGATTACTGTAATCAGACACAAACATTCAAAAAACAAAATTAACAAGAGGATGTGATGGAGCTGAAGATTTAGAAAAGATCTACCGATCAATTCCTAGAGCCTACAGCATAATCTAAAGGGAAAGGGCTACGGAAAGAGCAACTCCAGTGGACAAAAGAACTATCCTGAGGCTCTTGGTCGTAGGGGAAAAGAAGTGGCATGCAAGTAGGACTTAGGTGCAGCTAGAGTTTAAACATGTAGCATTTTGTCTTTAAATCCTCCAATCCTGTCAAAGGGCCTTTAGAGAGTGGAGTGTGTTTGGGAGAGTACTGGCCTCTTGAAAGTCCAGTGGCTTCTTTTTTGTGCTTATGTTCTGTGGGGGGCTTCTGTTTTGTGCTTCTTTTCTGTGGGGGCGCATTTTGTAAAGTTCTGTGTTCTCTTTATTCGACTGTAGTTTTAGTGCTTGAGTTTATTGGGAATTTGGGGTTAGCTCTTCCTTGTCATCCAATTCATTCATTCAGCAATAGTATTTTCAGTCCCATTTGCACTGTATTTTTTGGTTTTTGCTTATTTTAAGCTTATCAGAATAAGGGTCCTACACCAACGGGGGTTGGGTCTTGCTGAAAAGGCTAGTACTTCACAACGTGATAAACTAATATTTAAATCCTTATTGAGAGAAGTACCTGCATTTAGTGCCCAATCATATCTCAAATAGAATTGTCCCCAATAGAGGGTCCTATCAAAAAGCTAACAGATATTTTAAAGAGATACGCAAATACAAACTATCCGGACAGAGTACCAGATATATGCTCACATGTCTGGGGTAAGTGTGTGTGTGTGAGAGAGAGAGAGAAAGAGATTACAGGAACTGGAAGGGTACAAGAATAAACTTCAGACATGCTAACATCATCAAGGCCAAGGAATGACCCGCTCTCTTCACTTGCAAGGCTTTTGTTCTCAGACTCTTCTTCAACCATCTGGACTTTCTGTTCAGGACTCAACGATCTGGCCTTCCAGAGAGCCATGATTGTCCTATATCAGCACCATCAAGGCTTCTTATTAACATAGGAAATCTCATGCTTTTTCTAGTTCACCACTCACACTGTCATAATTACTTAAAGCTATTTCATAAAATACCAGCACTCATGTTAGAAAATTGTCAGAACTTGGATGACCAAGATTTAACTCCAAAAACTAAGTAGAAAAATGTGAATGACCATTAGCATTTACACCAAATTATAATTATAAAGGGTTGCTGAGAAATCTAACCCAGATTGTCTTGAAAGGAAAAAAGACACAAGTTCATAAGTTATCATAAAGTCTCCCATTTACCTGTGTGCTATGTTAAAAGACACAAAGGACTGAAAATGGAACTTCAGCCTGCCTTCTTCATCTTGTGTTTTTGCCCCATGCCTTGCATCCATCCCTTTTCCTGGCCGAAGAGTTATAACTACTATTGGACTCCCCATAGAAGAAAAATTAGGCTCAATGACCTTAATGTCTTCAATGTCCTCCCAAAGAAAAAAGAACTTTGTCTTTTTTCCAAACAAATTTGCATGAAATCCAATTATTCTTGGTGATAGAAATAGGCGGCCCTAAAAAGAAACAAAGGCCACTTGTCATGATAATACTATAGAAGCATGTACTAGATAAAGCATAATTAAAAGAATTGGCCATTTCAATCCACATAATGTGATTGATAACCCCACCTGCATGGGCATTTTTCTTTTCAAATGGCAGGTGAAATCATTGATGAGAAATTCCTCTGGTGGAAGCCCAAAGATTCTCTGAAAGGCTGAATTTGCTTGAGGAGACCGCAAATTAATCTACAATTGGTTTCAAAATATAACAAATAAGCCAAAAAAATGGTGGCTGAAACAGCATAGTGACACTCATATATATATATATATATAACCAAATGCCAGACGACATGGCTATCAGCATACCTTCTTCCCCACCTCTTTCTCCATTTTACTCAAATAATCTCTTACAACATTGCTACCTTTAGTGTTCTCCAAGAAAATTCTCAAATGCAGCTTAGACTGGCATGCCAGAGCCAATTTCCCTTCAAGAGGAACCCATACATCGGCAAGGTCTGAAATATTTCTCTTTAGAAAATTGATTTCAGTGTGTCCAAGAGATGCAGCTTGATCAAAAGGCCCATCAAAATCATAAACTTCCACCCCCAGCACAGAAGGAGGGTCGTCCATCGCATCAAATTCAAATATTTCTGCAAACATAGGCAATGTTTTTAGCAAAAATAAAGTATTTGTACAGTAATGTAGAACAATCACCAGATTCATCATTCATCCATATGTTCAGAATGAGTTACTAGCACAAAACATGATAAATGATAACGTAATATTCACCATTCCATAGAGGATCAGATTTCTGAAACTTGATAGAGCTGGTTCGTGTTTTCCCATTGCAAGTAAACACAACATATGGATCAGAGAATTGACTTGAATCAACAGCTGCTAAATTGTTTCCTTCAATCAGGGCAACAGTTAGCAACCATCCATCTCCTTGTGCTTTAACTCCATGATCACTTCCTGTAATAGAGTGATAGAGTTCCAAAATGAATTAGACTAAGAGAAAACATAAAGACACAGACATTAAGTACACGAGTACCATACAAATATTTGAGAAGAGAAAAACAAAATCATGGTCATTTTGATTAAAAAAGGGGACATTTGTTCAGAGAGATAAAGAAAAGCCAAATTGATCAAATAAGTGTTTGAAGGCTAACAAATCATTAGAATCTGGCAATTCAAGCAAGAAATGCCAATTCACACCATTATGGCAATTCAAAAGCATGCTTCCATCAAGGCTATGTGACCTAATGTAACCTCATTAACTCAACCAATTTTTTTAATGAAACAGACCTGTGCATTTCACTAATCAGATTGGAGCCAGGAGACCTTGCAACTACACATGGATATTTCCATTCTATTCTTTTCTTTGGCTGCCAGAGAAGTCTCAAATTTCCCTTCCAGCAAGCATCTCTTCTTTGGCTGTAACAGAAGCTTACTATCACTCTCCTTTGTTGACAAGTTTTCTATTCTCAAAATCTATAGCTTTTTGTCTCTTCTTTCGCTATAACTATAGCCATATATAGCGTTTATATGACATATTTCAGGCTGATTTTTCATTTTTTTTCCTATGAATTACATGATTCAAGTTAATTTCTCAATATACTTATGATTTATAATCCAAAAATTGACCTTCTAATTCAGAACTTGAATTGCAATTTGATAACTAAGGTCCAGCACACATTAGCAATTATACAGGTAATGGAACTTTTTAACATGCAACTAAAAGAATTTAACAACCATAAAAGGCATTCCATTTGCTCACTTATCTGGCTCCTGTGCTCAGCAAACATAAATACCTGGTTCCTACTTGTACCAATATAAAGCTGGTTTTTACCAGTTTTTCCCCCTTTCAAAACTAAGGGTTCGATGAAACCTCTGAGGTTGATGATTTCATCTACTGTTAATTTATACATATTCTACATTTTCAAGACCTAATCCACATAACAAAAGATCCTCCAACACCTGTTTTATGTTTTTCTGGAGTTGATGTAGCCTGGCAATTTCAAATGGATGTTTAACAATTATTTTGACAATCAGTAGTTTCGAATGTGTGCTATGAGGTTTTTCTTAATAAGAAGTGCAAAGCTTTATGGAAGCAAGCTCTATTAGTACGTTTATTAGTACCAGCCTAGCACAAAACACCATTTCCCATCAATGATTAATTGCCTCACATCTTAAATGTAACAGGTATGAGCTAAATTTAGAATTATAATCTGAGTAATTTATAAGGGGCTTTCTTTGATGGTACTGCAGGGAACTTGACTTTAGCCAATGTGTTCTCACTGTTTCATTTGTTTCAGCTTCTCTTCCCTTGTCTGTTTCTTTTTAACCTAACAGGATCTGATGTCATCCAGCCTTTCACTCTTTTCTCCCTCTCATTGAGTTCTTTTCAGAACCAAAGGGAAATCACAATATATTACATTTCTTCCAATACTGTTAGATATTTAAATATAAGCCAAGATAGTTCTCAACTTAAATATAACAGAAAAAAGAAGGCAATTATGGAGTTACCATTTTGTGCCCTGGCCTGCATGAAGCGAGAAATTAAACCCAACAATCGTTCACCTTGAAGAACTAGGACAGCACAAACAACAAATTCACCAATTGAATCTGGCAAGTCAAGTCCATCGAACTCAAGCCCTTGAACTTTACTGGGTGAAGCCATCCAAATGTGGACAAGAACGTACAATACCATGAAAAATGTCAAGACAACAGTGAAATTAGCAAAAAACTGGACTGCCAGTTTCCAATCTGACTGGGGCTCTGCCTGTAGTGATGCCAAAACTTGTTCCTTATTGGAACCAAGGTCCTTCGAATCAACAGGTTTAACAGTCTGAGATAACAAATTTGCAAACTGATCATAGTTGTCTTTCACACCTTGACGAGCACCATTTTCTATCACTGATTTCATCATGGTACTCTGTAAGAAATTCATTCGCCATGATATCACCAGATGTGAACACTGTTCTCCTGATGGCAACTCATGCCCTGGTGTAATCACAAAGAGTAGTTCAACCCTAAAGGAGCTCCCATACGTAACATCTGGAGTACTGGTACTTGCAAGGACAGCAAAATTCTTTCCATCAGCTTTAATATATGTTTGTTCCTCAAAGGCTTTGACAGCCTTGATTAATCTAGTAGGGGCTTTGATGTATGTAAGTGATCTTTTCAAGCTTTTGCCTTCATTCTCAAATTTCCAAGGTCCAACTTGGAGTTCTGTAGTACCTTGGAAATCTGCCAATGACTTGAGGAAATCTGAATCAGGTGAAAAAATTAATGTATTCAAGTCTTCTGGTGCAATGACATATAGTTGATCGATAAGCACCCCTCCAGGTAAATTGCTTGGAATTTCAGAGCCTTGATCTACAGACTGAATCTTTCTCATAGCATCTTCAAAAGATTCATTAGAGGGCTGATCCTCAGTTTTGATCTCCTCACCATCATCTTTACTATTTTCAGATGGATCTGTGTCCGCGCTTCCCTCAGGTACTGTTGAAACCATATCAGAACTCTTATTAAACATTTGAGCAATTCGACCAGCTAATGTTTTTTGCGTGCAGGATTTCTCATCCTTAGAGGTTGTGGTTTCTTCAATTCTCTTTGGAGATGAGCATGAACTGGTCGTAAAAGATCTTGAAGGTGATTCATTAGATGCATGCAGTAGTTGATCACCACTACTATTTGAGTCCAAGGATGAATTATTCTGAGAAAAATATATGCTTAAACGAATCTCCCCTGTCCGGAAAACAACTGTCACAATCTATGCAGCAAATTGCCCGCAACATAAATGAACGCTAGAATTCATGATCCATCGATATGTGTTTACTCTTAGTGAACAAATTATATTCTCACATGTCTTAGCTGCTTAAATGACAAGATATCAATAAAACAACGGCAACAATAACTATAACAACAAACCTTATCCCGCTAGGTGGGGTCAATTTAACAAATCCACGAATTTAATTTAACAAGCAGGCAAACAAGAAAAATCAGAAGGGAGAAATAGAAAGAACTATGCCTAGCATAACGGATTCTTCAATTAAAAAAAAAAAAATGAGACGTGTATAAGATTTTTTGCGAGGCCCAGTTATGAAATGCTATGCAGATTCATTGATATTTCTACAGCAGAACTATAGCAAAGATATAAGAATGACTAAAAATCAGCATCATAAATGCCTGATGCAAATGAGGTATAAGTCTTGCTATGTAGCATACCACACTCCTTGTTCTTGGACTTCTTGCTTTTGGGTTGCAAAGAATACCAAGCAGTGCCAAGAGACTTAATCTCCTCTTCGAATACAAGTGAAACTGGCACTTTGAGCTGCCCCACGAAGTCGTCGTTGAAATACTTATCTTCATCCATTACAGAGAACTGTAGCTCCTCATTGAGATCCTCAACCCGGAAACTAAACTCTTCATCCCACTTCGGATTCAAGCTCTTCTTGACCACTTTGGTCTTGAACTTCTGCCTTCCCAACTGCATCCTCACGTACGGATCACTTAACCCATTAGGATCCGTTGGTGGCAAATTCTTGGCCTCAATTACCCGAACTACAAGCTTCATTGTTCAAAGAATGGCAAATAAACCAGAATCTTCAAGCAGAATATGAACTTCAATCACCCCAAGAGAACAAAAGTAGTCCAGAAAGACCTTCCCAAGAGAAAAGAACAGCGTATGGAGAAGGAGAAGATGACTATGACTAACGCATATGCCAGAAAGTGATCCCAAAATCAGAAAAAAGAACAGAACGTACGCCAGAAAATGCAGTAGAAACTGCTGATCTATGTTAAAATCAATTCAAGGAATAACTGTTCATTTCGGATTCGTCAGCGGTGACTCAACAAGCAGAGAAACAAACAGAAAATTCATCAGCGAGGGAAGCGAGGGGAATTTGAAAGGGAGAAATTGGAAAGAAAAGAAAATCAATGATTGAACCCAGGAACCCTACAAAGAGACGTGATTTAAGGAAAACAAACATAAAGATTGTGAATGGAAAATCGAAATGGGAAGAGAGGGAGTGGGAATGAATTGAAGATTTCAACTTCAAAAGTTGATGGACTTTTTAACCTTTCGCTGTGAAAGAAGTAGCCACTAGCCACCGCGTGTCCAATGTTTGACTATTTGACCCTCTTTTAATCGTCTCACAGTTCTGACGCAATCATTGAGCTTTACTTCTTCTTCTTCTTCTTTTTAATATCAATGTTTATTGGTCATATAATATTATATTTTAAAATTCAAAAAATAAAGTTACAAACTTGATCTATTGATGATAAAATAATAGTGCATTTAAAGTTACTATTTTTCCCAGTATGTTTAAAATTTTTTAGAAGGGCATTCGATACTTATTTTCTTAAAAAATTGATTAAAGTGGAAATAAGTAATAACTTTGTCGGATTTAATTTTTAAACAAATGAATAACTGACTGATTCATCAATTAACCACTCAAGAGACCAAGATGTGGCAGATCATCTTTTCCCGTCATTAATTTGAATAAGAATAGTAACTCAATTGAATTTGGAAAATTTTGATGGAAGAAATCAAGAAATTAACTTTCGTATGTTTTCTTTATTTTTTTTTTAAAGCGATGGGTTTTTAATAGCACTCGAAGTTGTGATTTTAGTTATAATATATAGAAAAGTCAAGCGCCATATATGAAGATTTAAGCAATCAATTACTTTGGCCCCCATTTTTTTTTTTAAGGAAACAATTGCCAAAGTAAGAATTAGATGGCATAATTATCAAACTTTAGAGTTAATTCTCTAAATTTAATTTATTCACATTTTTTATTTATAAAATCATATTAATTTACTTATAAAATTTAAATTAGATACAAACTCAGTTAAATTCTCTACCTTCGAGCTTATCATTTTCATATTTCTAACTTACAAAATCGTATTAATCAATTTATAAAATTTAGTTAGATGTAAGTTTAGTTAAACTTGTTAAACTCATCAATTTTTTTTAATTGAGCAAGTTAAGTATATATTATAAAAAATTTAATTCATAAAAATTATAGGACCTAATTAAAAAAATGGAAATGCAAAAACTAATATTAATAAAAAATAAAACAAAAATATCAAAAATAAATTTTCTTATTTTAAAATTTTTATGTTTTGTATACGATAATTTATTAATATAAATGAATTTAATTTCAATTATTTATATTTTTAATATATTTAAATTAAATTACAGTTATATTTTAATAATTATTTATTAATAAAAATATGCGATTCGAGTTTACATTTCTATCATTAATTTACTTACACTCGTGAGTTTAATAATGTTGTTAGATGGATCTATTTGCTAATGTCAAAGCGGCAGAAGCTTAATTGTTCAATTAATTGTAAGTTAATTGAAATTCCTCTCTCATGTTTGGAAATCATTTTTTTTAAATAAAGGCCATAAAGAAAGCCAATCATTAAATATAAATAATCTATGTTTTTCATATTGCAAAAACAAATGACATTTCTTTGTGATTTGTGACTTTTGTTCCCTCCCTTACTAAATCCTTTGCCACTGAGTTGATATTGTCTAAATTTATTGAATAATTTTTTTCTGTTTCAAAGTTCTCGAAAAGTACCCCACTGGCTCCATTCTTCATTCTGCATTATTTATATTTAGAAAATAAAAATACCAAAACTAAGCTCCTCTCTTTTAAAATTTTTATATTTTGTATATGATAATTTATCAATGTAGATGAATTTAATTTCAATAATTTATATTTTTAATATATTTAAATTAAATTATAATTATATTTTAATGATTATTTATTAATAAAATTATACGATTTAAGTTTACATTCCTATCATTAATTTACTTTAGACCCTTGAGTTTAATAATATTGTTAGATGGAGCTATTTGCTAATGTCAAAGCGGCAGAAGCTTAATTGTTCAATTAATTGTAAGTTCATTGAAATTCCTCTCTCATGTTTGGAAATCAATTCTTTAAAAAAAAAAAATAAAGGCCATAGAGAAAGCCAATCATTAAAGATAAATTGTATCAGCAGAATGATTCAAAAGGAAGGAACTGCGGCAATGAACTTGAGTGCAAGAAATATCCATCTTTGTCTAAATGGACCCCACGTTAAAGAGGTTACCCTCATTTCCTGCCAAAGTCACCATTAACATTGTTTATACTTTATAAAGTTTATATATAATCTGAACTACAGCATAAATTATTATTAATTTATGCTTATAAAAAAATTATTAAAGATTTGATTTTTTTTTTTTAAATTTTCACATCTTATCTGTTCTTAAATATAATAAATATTATAACATTTAATTAATTCAAAATATTTTCATTAATTACTCAATAAAATATAGGTAATTAAAAAACATATAGTCCTTTCATTCAAAAATATAAAGCATTTTTAACTGAATCTCACCCTAATAAAATAATTACTTACTTTCAAACTAACCTATTTTTTCATATTTATCTCATTAAATACCTTACAATAAATATAAAGTCATTTATTAATAGGGGTACTTTTAAAAAAAGGCAATGATTATATCTTGAAAGATTAAAAATACCTTATATTTTTTAACATTTAATTTCTCTGTCTTACATTTTTTGATGAAGGAAGTATATAACACTTACCCAATGAGTTATACTTTGGACCAAGCGAAGCTTCTAGTTATCTTTGTTAAAGTTTATTACAAGTGAATATTTTTATTGGGGGTAAATTTGTTCAAAAACATGGTCAAACATTAAGGATTTTAAAAAAAATCATTTATAAAAATAAAAATTAAAAAAAGTTGGGTAAGTGTTTTAAATTTAAATATTCTCAAAACTGTTCTAATTTTTTATTGAAAAAATGACAGTTAGATTTTAAAATTCTAAATTAATTATAGTTAGATTCCCAAATTTTTTTTTTCAAAATGAATTGTAAATACCAATTCAAACAAATATAAATAAAAATTTATGTTACAATTCTAAGAGTTGCATTTAACACTTAAATGCTTATTTGCTATTAAAATTCATGAATTTCTAATTATTTGTATTAATATTTTCAATTAGTTTTTCAAAAAAAATTTATTAAAAACTTAATTATCATTAATTTATTATTTTAAAGCTTAACTGTTATTCTCTCTCTTTTGTTTTATAACTATTTCTGCTTTTTTATTTTCAACACATATTGTATTCGATTATTGTAAGTTACACTCCAGCCAACCACACTTATAAACTATCATCATTAGCCATTGGCAACTAGCATCACCCACCGTATCACAAATTTTACAAAGTACAGATTTAAATTTAAAACTAAAAATCAAATCTAAACGATGTAAGAAATGGAACCTCTCAATTGAAAGGGCTGATCCCTCACGAGACAAGGATTCAGGTTTTTTTTTTTTTTGGGTAAAAGGACAGATATTAAATTTAAAATTAAAGAGTACAGGGGTTCATTTTAAAAGCATGAATATAAATTTACCCAAAAAAAAAAGCATGAATTTAAAATGTGGAAGAAACAATGTCCTTAACTTGTAGCCGTAGGTGACAACATTCATTCTGGAAAGGTAAAGCGTCCTTTAATTTACTTGTATTTGAAGCACAAGCACCATATTCTTCAAATCAGAAAAATGTTAGATTCTCAAAAAAAAAAAAAAAAAACTTTAGGAAGGGAGAATGATGAATAAAGACCCCAAAAAAATTATGATAATAGAATTTATTTTTTTCCAAGAAATTTCACTTTTGAATAATGAAAAAAACTAAATACTAAAACATGTTCTTCAAGTAATGCTTCAATCATTCACGAAAGTAGGGGGGCAGGCTGGGGCTGTGGCCCCCATATTTCAAAATTTTCAAAAAATTTCTTTGTAAATTCATATACTTTTGTTTATGGAAAATATTGAAGTCAATTTTGGCCTCTCACTTTTATATAAAATTTCAGTTATAACCCGCATATGATGATTTTTGGATTCACCCTGCTCCAATGCTGGTCTAATTTTAAGTTTTTTTTTTTTAATGAGATTGTGAAATGTCATTCTTTTTTCAGTCTCGATCTATGTGATATTTGAAGTTATATTGAACTCCAACTAATTTAAGTTGGGTTGCGCACGTTTTTTTTTAGGAAATATATATATATATTAAAGTAAAATGATTAAAATACAAGAACATTTTGGAACAATCAGGTAAAAAAAATTAAAATTAAATCAGGCCACTAAAATTTGTTTGTAGGAAAATGCTAGGCAGGGATATGAACGGTCAACAGCAGCATCATAGAAACTTCACCAAAATAAAATTTCATTTTTAAGGACCTGCACAAAAATCAAACGTCTCTCTCTCTCTCTGTGAAAGGAAATAAAGACCTTGCTCGCATGTGAAGAATGCTCATCTTGATTTGTTTAGTAAAATACAAAGAAAAAATGGTCATGTAAATGTAACTATAGCACGTCGATCAGCATGATTTAGTAAAATATTAAGAAAAGACAGATCAAAATTGAATCGTGTACGTTGTACACTAAAACAATTCAAAAATAGGGAAGGTTAAAATATTTTTTATTTGCTGGAAATCACTGTTTCTTTGTGTCTTAACGTGAAAATAAATAACTAGTCCACAAAGGGGGGGGGGGTGATGGATCCCCATAATGTGAATGAATTTTTTGACCATGTCAAGATAGAATTGAATTGAATGGACGAACACAACAAGCAAATGACAAATTGTACATTATATGCTGCCTTTGAAAAGTTTATATTATTCACATATTTATATATTTTTCAGTGAAAATTATGGTTGAGGAGCAGAGATAAAAAAATCTATGTAAAAATGATTATGATTTATTAAAGGATTAATATATAATTTGAACCCTAAATTATAAGTTTAATAGCGATTTGAACCCTATACTTAAAATTGATATATTTTGGACTATGAACAATCAAAATTGAGGCATTCTTGCTCCCACCATTATTTTTGTCCAACATTAACTATTAGTTAGGAAGAAAGAGTTCTTTTAACTAAATTTTGCCTTAGTGTCATGCTGCTATGTAGGTCAAAATTTTCAATTGGTTTTACAACGGACCTGATAACTTTCCCTCTTTCTAATTACCTGCAAAAAT